GCAATAATACATAACATATGTTTTTAAATGTCTCCTGTACCGATACAAAAGAGCGATAACGTTGGAGCTTAACGGGGTGTAGAACACATGTGATGACGTCACCAACGAATCGACGACTGAATTAGTTGCCAACTAATTTGGTAATCGATTTTAATCGATTAAGTCGATTAGTTGTTGCACCCCTATTTGCCAACAAATAATTTATTGTGTAGTTTGTCTCCTTTCTGTACTATGGCGCACTTAAATTGCTAACCACAGCTGTCTTGTTTTGTGTAGCTGTGTGTACGCTCTATGGCCGCTCTGGAGACCATCGGCCCCCTCATGGCGGGGATGAAAGCCCGGGCAGACATGGCTGGATTAGCTTGTGAAGCTCTCAACCGCATGTTCCAGAAAGAGCAGACAGAACTAGTGGCCCAGGTAAACCCCTCCACCATTGTTATTTATTTATTTTGTTTGGTCAGTTATGTTTGACAGTTTAAAATGAATGAATAATGTATTTTATGAATGAACAGGCTCTCAGAGTGGAGCTGGTCCCGTACCTCCTGAGGCTCCTGGAAGGAATCGGCTTGGAGACGTTGGATAACCCCTCCGCTACAAAGGCTCAGATAGTAAAGGCTCTCAAGTCCATGACTCGCAGTCTGCAGTATGGAGAACAGGTATGATAGGAATACATGAACAGCAGGATTATTAAATAAAAGTACTGGACAATTAGTGCTGCTAATTGCTGAAATGACATCATACTGTTTCTTAATCTTATTTACCTCTTTGCCAATCGCTGCTCTGCAGGTGAATGAGATTCTTGCCAAGTCCTCAGTGTGGAGTGCCTTCAAAGACCAGAAACACGATCTATTCATCTCAGAGTCTCAGACCGCAGGCTACCTGACTGGTAAAGTATTTCCATTTACTTTGCCTGATATTAAAACACTCGGCACACTCACAACACCTTACATTTGATTAACAAGCTTGGCTGTTAAATACATTTTTCTGTCAGTGTCTAAAAGGTAAGTCTCTACTGCCTTGCTCTGAGCTGATGTTGAGCCTTAATGCTTTGCTTTATCCTAAAAACGACCTTGTGGCTGCCTCCTCACTTAAACCCAGAGACCCTTTCTGTCTCCACAACCTATAACTTCCTGGCTCTGCCTTCCCTGTCCTGTTTATCCTCCACGTTTCCTCCTCAGGGGTATCCACTCCTTCTCTCCTGGCCGCCAGTAGCCCACTGCGAGGTGGGCTCTAGACTCCTAAGCTGGGCCCTCACAGCCCTCCTCTCTCTTGCTCTGATGCAGGTAGACCTTGACCTACTGCCATCCCTTGCCTCTTTACCTCCATCTTGACCCACACTTCATTTTCCATTCCCACCTTTCCATATTCAGTACTAAATGTAATTCCCTAACACCTTCCCTTCCATCTCCATCCACCAGCTCATTATCCATCAACTCAAGTTCCAGGAAATTAACAGAACTGACATTGAGTCAATGTAGTGACCACTTCTCCATACATAGAGTAGTCTTAAGAACATCATTGTAGCTAACCATTAGCTATCCCTCCAGGTCACACCTGCACTGAATCTCTCTTCCTGTCACCTGTAGGTCCAGGAGTAGCAGGCTACCTTACAGCAGGAACTGGAACAACGGTAATGCCCAACGTCCCACCCCCTGTGGACAACGACAGTGGAGACCAAAGCTGATGGACACACCTCACAGTCACGCTCAGGCACCCAGACTGCCCTGCAGCTACACGGACGCAGCTCAGAGAAGGACTGTCCAGCTCCCCGACGAGGGGACGGAGAGAGAGAAAGCCGGAGGAGAGCAGGCCGTCATTGACCGTCACCAAAATCTCTGCAACACCTCCTCCAGAATCACTCTCCTCTCCCCTTGCAAAGGGCACTCAAGTCTTCATGAACACTTTTGAAATTGTTTTAACTGATGACCACATTTGTTTTGTTTCTGTGCTTCTTTTCTTGTTTCTTCCAATGACACGCAAAAGAGTTTACTTTTTGTATGAATATATTTTTTACTCCAGATTTTTTTTTTTTCCCATGAGAAAGACATAGGGAGACTGAGGCGTATTCTAGGTTAACTGTCTCTTCTCTATTATCTTAATCCTCTTTGTCATATCCTAATTGGCTATACTTACCCTAAATTATGATCAAAGGATGCTTGGCCTTGTTTGAGACGCATTTGTGCACAGGACCTATCCACCTCTTACATTAACATGGCATTGACTAGTCTGTATAATGGGTTCTCAAATGGAAAATCTAAATCATGTGTGTATGATTTCTCTGCCTTGAGTGATGCTGACGTCTTGTCTGGTTTGGTCAGGTCCAGTTCGATCCACTCTTACAAAGTTGACACAAATGTACTCTCCAAATGTCCAGCCTCTTATTCCTCTAAACTTAATTCATAGTTCATTCTGCTCTCTCTCTGAAGGCTACACTTTCTGCCTCACATTTTTTTAAGTAATTCTCCTTCCCCCTCAGAAAGCAAAAAGCACTAGAATATTTATAAGTGAATAATAACCACCGGAAATGAGCTTCTGCTAAGACATTACGAATGACAGTGACTGATTATGAATCTGTGAAAGACTAGTGCAATTTGTGAAATGTTCAATGTAATATTACGTATATAATTTCTATATTGAATGTACATTCAAAAAAAAAAAAAAATCTGTCGCACTTGTACATAAAATTTTAAGAATAAAAGTGAACCCACAGTGTTATTCTTTTGTGTTCACATTTGTAATTGTTGAAGTAACAGGTTAGAAACAATACATTACAATAAGTAATATTCCCAATAAGTTATCTTAAAACATGTGTTTTAGTATGCCTTGTATGTATATGCTAAGGAGCCATATTTATTTCAAGAGACAATTCTCTTGAGTTCAATCTTTATTATAAACCGATGTTCAATGTGGATGACTGAGGACAATTAAAACTTGAATGGACAAATCATTAACTTAAGATGTAAATGTTTAAACATATTTTGATGTATAATTTAAAAAATAATATATTACCTAATTACTATAAGTAGGTTAGCCTATATACAGTTGCAAGAAAAAGTATGTGAACCCTTTGGAACTACCTGGATTTCTGCATAAATTGGTCATAAAATGTGTTCTGATCTTCATCTAAGTCACAACAATAGACAAACACAGTCTGCTTAAGCTAAAACCACAAAACAATTATATGTTTTTATTGAACACACCATGTAAACATTCACAGTGCAGGGTGGAAAAAGCATGTGAACCCTTGGATTTAATAACTGGTTGACCCTCCTTTGGCAGCAATAACCTCAACCAAACGTTTCCTATAGTTGCATATCAGACCTGCACAACGGTCAGCGATTGCTATTTCACACATGTAGTAAGTATAAAGTCGGATGCCACATCGGAACCGGACACGACTAGTGATCAGGGCGTGACGTGGAGAAAGGCGAGGCACGACCTCTGCCGGACAGTGTGATGTGTCACGTCGGCGCGTCGTGTCCCGTGTCTATAGAGATACCCATCCAGACATATTGGACTTTCTGGCACTCCTCCGGTCTTGTACACACAATTGAGTGGTAGGGTTTCGGGTCATAAACAGTATAGTAATAATAAATGATATTTAAGGTGTTATGGGTATGAGTGAGTAACATATCATTATAACTAACGTGAATAAAACGAGACGTAACTGACCTCTTGGAAGAAAAGAAAGAAAAGAATCTATGTTAATTGTTTTTAGTCAAAAAATATATGAAAGCTGTCAGCTACAACCCTTGTCTTACTAGTTATAACTAATCTCATGTATGGACAGGGACTCTTAAAAAGGGTCGTCCGAAACCTGGGTTCACCCGTCGTCCTACCCAAATCGGTCCGCCGTCGATGGTCCATACAAGGAATGATGGGTGCTTGCTTAGACGGAGCGATACGTACACCAATGTCTATTCGTGAAGATGCTAGTCTATCTTCGCAGGAGGGTGACTCAACGGTGGTCTAGGTAGTGGAGACAGGCATATCTGCTCTCTGTCTGTAGTTTGTGTAGCACACTTTTGAATTGTTCTGGACAGTATATCAAAACACATACACAAACCCCTAGAGTTCTAGAAAAAGTCTGAAAGTGATAACTGCGTTTGTTGACCTTTATTACAGGGAAACTACCAAAAAATCTAAAATAGTGTTATTATACAACGACGAAAGGTTAATGGTTATTGGCAAAAAAGATTGATCGAGCGATAAGACACAAGGGAGTAATAAAATACACTAATGTACAGGTATTATAGTGGATGTTTTCCGCGTATCTTGACTTCTGTCTCTATTATTATAGGGTGTGAGTGGTCGTAAAAGTTTTTGATTTTCCGTCTAGAGGGGGTAAACATACTTAGGAAGTTTTAATATCGGGATTAGAAAAAAAAGGTCTACAACCTAACACCTACAAATTCAGTAACTGGTTGAACGACTACAGTAACAGTAAATATCCATGACGTCTAAATTTTCCTTAGTTGTTTAGACATTTCCGATTCATGTGGTGGGGCACCAAGCCAAATAGGTCGCGACCACCGTCCTTTATCACCTACAGTCGGGTACCCTGTACAACATCTACCGAAGCAGGCGAAACCCCTGTGTTACGACTGTCGAAGTCCGTCTGTCGTGGTGGTCACCTGAATGATATGCTGTCGGTTCGATGTTTTGTATATTGTCACCACTGTTTTTCTTCTTGATGAACTGTATATTACCCAAGACGATTAAGAATAATTTATGTCCCCATGGCCCAATGGACATCTACATAATTGCGTATAACCCGCGGAATGGCTGGAAAGCAACGTTGCGTCTTTCCGAGCCCCAGACCACGCCTTTGACGATCTTCTGTGTTTGTCGGTCTGAAACACGGGAAAACCAGGTAGAACCCATTTTGTCAGTTAAAGTAGGCTTAAGGCAAAAATTCATGAACATTCTGACGTCGAAGTTTTGACCGGAAACATTTTCTACTCCTTTTATGGTATCAAGTGACCATTCGTTTCTCTGGTTCCCGGTTTTGTCACCTTATGTTCATTTAAGAGTTATTTTCTAAACTCTTACCTCAAATGGAGTCTATTACGGAACGTCGTATGAGACAAACCACCCACACCAACGAAGAGGTGTTTGAAGGTTACCTTCGGAAGAACAGAAGAAACCTGTACCACTGACTATTCGCTTTTGGACGAACTGCACCCATTCATGGAACCGTCCATGTTTATTAAATCGCATGTAATCGGCCTTATACGACGAATGATTCCACGACACTATTTGGTGATGATGAGGCCGTCAGTTAACCATGTTGACAATTCATGACAACATTCTGTAATGATCGCGTTCGATCGAATGAATGGAAAGAGAATAGTCTTTTGCTTTTCTCGGTCATAACTTATGAGACTGGTGATGATAACACCAAGCGTTTGCACAGTAAACCTCATGATCGAATTGGCAGTCATACACGAACAGTTGTTCTTTCGAGTACGGCTTTATATATAGATTGCACTTCGTTAAAGGTTGCGATTTGCGATGAAATTTGGTATCGCGACGGGGAATGTATACTACAAATTCGGGTGCGTAATTGATTTAATCGTGGGTAATAATAGTAATTTGCTTGCCAATACTTAAATAAGTGTCATAATATTGTCGTGGAATGTTTTTCGAAACATTATTAAATTACTATCGTCCGAATCATTTCGAAATCGTTTTTTAGGAGACAACAACAGGTAAGCCGCGCGTTGGCCGCTTTGACAAGGCCACAATGGGAATATTATAGTTGGCACACCTCAGCTTCGATTCACAAGTTACTTTCTAGGCATCCTTGATTATTACATAGCCAACTATTTATAACATCGTTTATACTGGTTCTGCGATTGGATTCGTGGCTTAATATGTTCATCAAATTTTTGTTAATAGTTAGTTATCTAGTTATTCGGTTTTTACAGGTTTGGTTTAATTATTTACATGAATTGAATTATCATGATAATTTTTGTATAAGTATGCACTCGGAGAGGACCAGTCGTCGTCCGAGGTTTCACTTGAATCGATTTTCCTGACGAGACACTATGCAATAGAGTTCACCCCAGAGTTTGCCAAACCCAGTCGGCTCTAATTATATTGTCTAATAAAGCGCAAAAATCCGTGTACAAATACTCTTTAGTAATATCAATATGTTTTTTATGTCTCTTATATTACTTTTGCCATTAATTTATCATATACTTTCATTTTTTTTTCTTTGGTCATTATTTCAATTCCCCTTTCGACTTGTATGATATTTTTATCGTGTGAAATTGGGGGACGGAGCCTATGTGGAATACACCGGCACTCCACTAATAGGCTCGGAAATTAACATTGTCTAGCCGTCCATCGCTAGACACATAAACGCCATCTTGTTATATTCGGTGCACATTCTCTGGACATGTAATTAACCCTTTTGCGGATTTACAAACTCGAGGGAGGATCTTTACAGTTCGATGGGGGGTGTACAGAGCGCGGTTTTATTTAGAGTATCAGCGGCGGTGACTCGACCGTTGGGCGCAAAAACTTCTTTACACGTCACGTTTTTCGTCCGAGTTAACGTCCGGTGATTACCGACACTATTCTGTGTCGAAAAACCCGGGCTTTTTAATCAGTCGTAACAAGAAAGAAAAGGTAAAAAAACCTGTCTAACGTTACACCGTTTCATCTTTATGTACATATACAAGATCGTTTCCCTAGCCGTGGTGTCTTTAACATCATAATACATATCATCAAACAAAACTGCGTGGTTTCTGGAATACCTCGTTAACAAAATAATAGTGACAAGATCGTTTCCCTAAAAAAAAATTTTTCCTTAACGAGGTCAAGTACAACATAAAACATAAACACATAAAATTATTTCGCAATTGTAACCGGTAATGCACTGAATAACAATCCGCACAACACCCCCGGGATGGAAAAAAAGGGAGTTTCGACTGTCTTTTTTCAAACTTCTTGTCGACGGTAATTGGATTATACTCGGTACAAAGTCGATCAAAAAATTAAGATTTTATTATGAACGAATAGCCGTCCGAAAATCCCCCTACTTTTCGTATAATCATTACTATACGTCAACCGTCTTTTTCATACACTTCGCGGAAAACATTAAGACCTAAAGACGTATTTAACCAGGGTATTTTACCTCCTTCGGTGACGACAAGTCTTTTTTGTAACGGGACGTGACGTGCAAACTTTCAAACGTTTTCTCTCCCGTCGGACCTAGCAGGGTGTCGTCGATGACCGTTTTTGTAAGACACCTGTCTACTTTGCGTTTCAACTCCAAACAAACCTTCGCTTGTGTGTTTTGCGAATAACACACCTTCTTTTTTTTTCCGTGTCGTGTGGTTCGTAGTTGTGCAGGTACGGGTTGACACTTCATACCACCTCCCCTCGTAGTACCAAAACCCCCGGACGAAACGACGGAGTTCCGGACCCCGTCTAACGGTAGTAGCTCCTTTCTTACTTAAGAGTCAAATAGTTACTTGTTTAAAAAAAACGACCTCTTGAATTCCCGGCGTAGACAGGGTGGTTAACTTCGACGTTGTCTTCTAACCCAATACGTTGTCCTGTTGCTGGGTTTCGTCGTCTTTCATTTAGTTGTTGTCTTACCGAAAGTTTGTTCTTCTTTTATCCTCGGAAGACCTCACCGGTCAGTCTCAGGACTGGGAGTTGCGGTTATATATACTTCTACGACACCGTATCTGGAGTTCTCTCACTAACGTGTGCGTTGTAGGGTTCTTAAATAACGACTTGACTTTGTCATAAAACATTCTCCTTATCAGGTTCTTTAAGGAGANGAGGTGAGGAGACAAACACAAATAGGGGGGAGGGGGGGAGCTGCAGCGAGTCTCTGTAAAGTATGTGTATTCAGCAGTATTCACTTTCTCCACTAAACGGCTCGCTGCAGCTCCCCCCCTCCCCCCTATTTGTGTTTGTCTCCTCACCTCATTGTCTGATAGAGCATGTATGAGGCGGATGGAGCTCTTGGGCACGGCGTTGTTCTTGTGGCTCAGTGATGCCAGGACGCGAGGCAGGTGTCCCAGAGGAGGAACCTGGTCAGCCAGCTGGCTCTGCGCGCTGAACAGACACACTGCTGCCATGGTAACTGTCTCCAGGGCCTCACCCTGTAAGAGACCAGAGATGACAGGAAGAAGGGAAATTGCGAGTGTAAGAAGTTGTAGAATCATCAAATACGGTTTGAGTTTCTCTGTAAAGTAACACATCTTACATTGGGGTTGTTTTTCTCCAGCAGCTCAGTCAGGGTCTCCAGGAGGGACACCAGGAACTCTCGAGGCTTGCGCAGCACCCAGCCGGGCTGAGCAATAAAGATGCGCAGGAAGACTCCACCAACTTCTAGCTCGCCCTGCCCTGCTCCATAAGCCACTGTGAAGTCCTCAGGCAACTAAGCATACAAACAAAGAATGTAAGATCACAAAGAAAAATCACACACAACATATCGGGGTTTTAATGTTGGGGATATATTATTGCACTTACTTTCCAGTTAACGTCAGGATTATCCTTCTGCTGTTTAAAGTGGCTGGAAAATAAAAGAATATGAAAAAAAGATGATATTAAGCATCATATTGGACAGTTAGGGTACTCCAATATTTAAGACTTATCAAACTTCAGACTACTCAGCTGGATACTTTTAAAATAAGGTATTGAATTGGGCATATATCATACTCAAGCATCATCTCCCGGACAGTTGTCGACACTTTCTCCCTTGAGTTGTCATTCCAGATGAGCTCAGGGTTCTCGTGCGTTCCCTCGAATATGTGCACTGCTGCCTCGGCGTTGTCTCGCATGGCGTCCATGAACACACCGGGAAGGAAACGGATCAGCGTCAGACGCACCTGGCAGAGAATAGAATATATGACAATGCAATATAACGCAAGGAGGACAGGACAGTTATTTATCTTTTTATTTCTTTCTATTTGTATTCGTCTAGTCTTACCTTTGGCCCCACTAGCTTATCTGAAGTCATCTTGGAGAAGAGCTCTGCAGTCTGTGTGCGTACTTGCGGATGTGTGCAGTTACAGAAGAGGTCAAGCAAGTAGATCAGAGCACCTGGAGAGCAAACAGATGAACATGAGCATCTGTTTGTGTAAAATCTACATAAATGTGGGTCGGAAAAAATAATAATTACACTGACCTTTGGCCATAGCCTCTTTGACTATTTTTGTGTTGGAAGTCAGTGCATACAGGGTTTCCAGCACCATTTGCCTGCCTGAATTGTGAAAAAAATACACATTTGAGTCCACAGACACTGCAATAAGTAAAAGGAGGCAACAAGGAGCACAGATTGCAAGCCGGTGACTTGTTTTCTGATTTAAAATGTTCTTACTGGAGGGGAGTGAGTGCAGCAGCAACAAAAGGTTGGACAACACCAGCGACTCAGCAATGTTGCTCACGCATTCTTGGTTTGACGTGACTGTATTCACAACCTGCAAAAGAAACCAGAATGAGTGAACTGCAAAGACACTAGGAACTACAGTTTTCAGACATCAGCAGGACTAAGATCCTGTACCTCCAAAACGAGCTGCTGTACTCTGCCCGCTCCGTGAACCCGCAACAAAGAGAAGAGCAGTTTGAAATGGCCGATGCACTCTGACTCCGAACCTGAAATCATACATAGATAACTGCTTAGAAAGAAACTTAGGGTGAGACATCCCAGGCAAAAACATTGTTTTTCATACACAGACAAAGTGGAAGTTGAAGAAGGGTGATATCTCACCTGGGTTGTTCTTGATGACATTGCGGAGAGCCTCTAAAGACATCTCAGCGAAACGCAGCCTCTCAGCATGCTGCTGCGACTCTACCTTGTTACTCTGACTCATGGCCAGCAGAGTGTGGAGGTACTGAGCCTGAGAGCCCACGTAGTCCAGAAGACTGGCAGCAAATACTTTAGGGAACTGGAGAAAAGAGACATGGGAACACATTATAGCATTATAAAAGCTTTAAAGTCCATTTGAAAGGACAAATAAACCAAATAGACAATAAAATGGGACAAATAAAAGACACTTAAAACAAGCTTTTAGTCAACACTGCGGTCAATATGAATAGAAATCAGACAATAAACAATCAATAAAAGCAACTTAAATGTTTTTATTGTAGTATCTTGTTGTTACACTCACCTCAAGAGGATAAGTTGGTTGCTCATTGTAGACCCGGACAAATATCTCCCCGACTATCAGCTCCTTGCTGTGATCAGTGAACAGAAACTCTGCTCCAAAGCTTTTATCATTCTCTCCCTATAAACAGACCATAGACAAAAACATGAATAACTAATTTTTTTTTTAACTTTGACAAAGTGTATGAATAATATCTATATACTAATATAAATGTATGGTTTTATATGATGTTCATACCCTCTTGATGTTTCCCTCCTGTTGAATCTCCAGGAACTCCAGCAGCTCGGCTCGTGTTCCGTTGTTCCAGATCAGATACGGGTTCTCTGAGTTGCTATTCAGCAGCTTCAAGACCTAAAAGCACAACATGTGGCGCTCAGCATGGTGTTGGGGATTATGAATGTAAAACATTGACCTCCACCTGCGCAACATACCTCAGCAGGAGATCCTGTTCCCAGCTTCCTTGAGATGTACGGTGACAGCATGGCTGCTAAGCTCTTGCGGATGGTGGGGTTCTCCGGAGGGGTTCCCTCGATGCCATTAGTCTCTGAAACAGGATTGTCCCCGTCAGTGGTGGGGGGGGGCTGGGCGTAGCCTCCCAGACGGCTGAGGGCCACCATGCTGAGCTTGGCCAGGCTGTTAGCGACCTCCTGCTGGTTTGAGTCCTGGCTGGTCTGCACGCCGCTCTCCTCCAGGGTGTAGTCGTAGTTGAAGAGGCGGACCAGCAGGTGCCAGAGCACGCCGGCATGGTACAGGTGTGTCTGCAGGAAGTAATCCACAGCGAAGGAGCTCACGCACTGCACAGCCAGGGCGGCGGTTTTTGGGAGACCCTGAGAGGACACAAAGGGGAGAACATTAAAAAGCTGAAACTAACATCCTAGGTGTAGCATTCACATATATTTCTAAATAACTTGCAAAAACTGCGACCACAAACAAGAAATAAGGACGACTGCAACGGGTAATGGCAGAAAAATAAAGCTTATTTATTTTACTCGTAGACAACTTTATGGATAAATTATTAAAATACTTGAATGGATGAATTGGTTGTGCAGATAATGCACTTTCAGCATGTTTTTTTATATCTTTAGTCAAGCAAAAAGAGGAAATCCTTAATGGATACAAAATAATCGTGTCAATGTCAAATAGACATCGTGGTTGCGGGTCCTCACCTTTCCATAGAACAAGATGTGACAGAGGTCCCTGATGATATTTGGCATTTCCACAATCTTTTCCCTGCATTCCTCAAACTGGGCTGCTACACTGTAGCACTTGCAGATGTGCCCGCACACCTGTGGCACAAGTATTGAAAACAAGTTATAAGCAATAGAGTACTCATCTCTGGAAAGGAATGTCCCTACAGGTTAATAATGGGTCATTTACCAGAACAGCCATGTCATCATGCTTGCTGGATGCTGTCAATACACCAACACATCGAGAGAGAGCCTCCAGCAACACCTGATTTGAAAAAAGGAAACAATACATTTTTTATTTAAATCACATTTCCTCACAATGTTTCATTTAGATTGGTTGATATTTAATGATTTGTGTGTATACCTCTATGCCGCTGTCTCGGCGCAGCTCCTCTGCATTCAGAGCCGAGCAGTTGACGGTGTGGAAGGCCAGTTCAGCAGCAGCCGGGAGGAGAGGGGAGGTTTTGGAGAAGAGTTGCTCATCCTCTGTTTCCATGGTAATTGTTTTGATGAGCATGGGGTAACCCGCGTATTTGTAAGGTTCCAGCTCTGTTTAGAGACAATAATAAGGGTGTTCATTAAAAATCTCTAACCACAATGACACACATTCACTCCTATTCAACCTATCTGCATACCTTGTTTGTGCCGGTTGAACAGGATGCTCTGAGCTTTGAGGATGAGGATGATGTTTTCTGGGTCGGGGCCGTCCAGGATTCGGGCAGACTTTGTGCAAAGGAACTCGTAGGCTTTGTTGACTTTCTCAAACATGTCCTGAAAGATTTGAAAAAAATAAATATGTGGATGTAGCTACCGTATCTAGACCCTTGCAAATGAATCATGTCAGTAATGATTGAAGTACTTACTCTGCCCTCGGGGTTCTTGTCTGGATGGTACTTCTGCGCCAGCCTGAAGTAAGCTTTCCTGATTTTACTCTCCTCGTGCCTGACAAAAGAAATTACAACTTTTTTTTTTAGTCCAAGTGTTTCAATCCACATAATTCAACAACAGCATCTACATTTGTTGTTACTAAACAATTAAGATAATTTAGGATAAAAGACTAATCAAAGTCGACTCACGGTCCCTGTCCTTTGGGGAGGTTGAGGACTTCAAATGCATCATCTACAGACATAGAGGGAGGCTTTTTCTCCACCTCCCTCTTCCAGGCTTCAAGAGTGTCTTTTAGCAGCTTCACCTGAAGGATTAACGGAGGGGGATCATAGTTTTAAAGAAGCCTTTTTTAGACAAGCAGGACTTTGATAAGGATGTAGAAGCTTGAATAAATGAGAACAATTAGGAACATACCGCATCTCGAATGGGCCAGTTGGGGAAGCGGATAGTGTCACACAGATGCCTGAGGTAGTAGATGTTGCAGAAGAGCTCGTTGTCCAGCTGAGGGAAGTTGACCACTGGGATGGGGCAGTACTGGTAGAGAGCCCGCGTGTTGCTCTGCAGCCTGGGGCTGAAGTCAGCTATGTGTCCAGCTATCTTTTCAATCATCAACCGTCTGAAACAGAGAGTTAAAACACAACCTAATTAACATTTCTTTAAACCACAAGTTGACTTTAACTGCTGCACTTCTAAATATCTTCTTCATTGACTTTCTAAAGACACTAATTGGACACAATAGAGACAGATCCCTACCTCATCTCGCTGCTCCAGATGGCTTCAGGGGTATCAAACTCTCCAAGGAATATCTCTGAGAAGCGCTCCGCCTCGTAGTTCTCCAGATAACACACCATGGCCTCGGGCAGCACCGGGCCCAGAACACTACGTTGGACTATGTCCGTACCCTTAGACTAATGGGAGAAACCACAGAGGTTAGATTCAAAATATACACTCAGTACATTATTATGTTAAAATGTTTGAAAATAAGTCAGATTTACCTCCTCTGATTTGAAGGCTTGTTTCAGATGAGTGTACTTCAGGAACCTTTAAGAAACAAAGGAATGTCTCTCGGTCAATATCATCATTGCATATTACTAGTGCTGATGTCTTTCTTATTTTATAATGCATCGACATTACTCAAAAGATGTTTTCTCGACGCCAAGAAACAAAAAGCACACCAACTGAATAATTAGGATTATAAAGGAAAAGCACACATAACTGTCAGTCATCATGAGTCCATGACAGTTCTAAATATAGACAAAATATCTCAAAAATGACCTTTAAACATTAGCTTTTTAGCGCTGATGTGTGTGTTTTCACCTTGCTACAGGAAGCACGTTGGAGCCTGTGTACATCATGATGAAGAAGAAGATCCCAGTAAGATAGAGGCGCTGCAGATTGGGGTTGTCCTGCATCACCAGGTACAGAACGTTAGCCACCTTTTCCACCAGGATTGGGTCAAAGGTCAGGAGCAGCTGGAGTGGACAAAGAAATACATTGAGATAATCAACATGGAGTTCTATTCAATTAAGATACAACAAGTGGAAACGACAACATTGTCAAGATGGAAAAAAAGCTTTGATTACTATGAAGATACCTGAACAATGTGAGGGAGGCAAGCATTGTCACTGATCATCCTCTTGATCTTAGGCAAAGGTCGGATAATGGCATTATCTTGGTCCCTGAGAAAGAAACAGGTATAGTCACAGGTAAAAGTTAAAATAAAAAAATCAATAAGCAAACTACAATACTTAGTTTCTACTAAGTATTGTAGTTTGCTTATTGATTTGTTTTATTGATTATTGATTTATTTTTTAATAAATTTATTTTTTAATTATTTATTTATTTATTTATTTTTGCTATTGCTTTTTATGATGCCATACAATAGACATTTCCAAAAAGGAGAAGAGTTGTTTTCTAGATATACAACCCCAAAAGAATGGTCTGCTCTACACACCTGCTGGGGTAGTACGAACACATGGTGATGAGCATGTTAAGGATAAGGGTAGCCAGGTCGGACTCGTTCATCACCGCCTGTCCGGTGGCCAGGAGGCACCACTTTAGCTGTGGGATGGCCTGCAGGGGGCGCCAGCCGTCCATCCCCTGAGCCCAGCAGCGTGTCTTCGCTGTCAGGACTCCTGTGCTCCAGAACTCCTGCATCTGGAGAAGTTAAACAAAAAATACAGATGAGTATGGGGTGGTTTCTGTAAAAAAAAGTACCTGCTAAAGACCAATCAAATGAAAATAACATATCAATAACTGAAGAATGCAATGAATATATTTTTTAAGAGGGACATTTCTATCTATGCGTTATCATATTTTGCTACGCCGGTCTTAGCAGGACTTCAAATAACATTTGAGAAATGCCTGTGCTTGACAGATGCCATACCTCCTCAAAACTGAATGGTCCCCTTCTTTCTTTGTCTGCGTTCCCAAAGTACCACTCTTTCTCACTCTCCCTCTTCATGTCTGGTGATGCCTCCAGAACGTTGCTCTGTGGAAATAAAAAACGCCCTCAGTTTGACACGCCGCACAGATTAAATAAGTCTAGCGTCATGTGTAATTTACTGAATCAAAAGAGACATTATTTTCATATAATATCAGAAGCCATGTTTTTACCTGGAGGGGTACAGTAGCTCTGCTGGTATGCAGATGAGCCATGGTGAGCAGATCCACCAATATACGCACTCCATTTGAGTCCATCACCTCCTTCACATTTTTCTGCAGATCAAAAAATGAATTATTGACAGAGAGATTGAAAGGTGGGTTGAATAAAAAGGCAATTCAAAAAAAGGCACTGTTGCTCTTAATAGCTTACCTTGTTCAGAATGAGTTTGTTGAGGAAGATGATGATTCTGTCTCTTTCCAGTTTGTCTGTGCACTATAACAACAAAAGTGTATTTTAGATTTGCGGATTCATTCAAAGACATTTAACAAATCAGATCTTGCTGTTCCAGTTTGTACTTACTCGATCCAGCATGCCCACAATGTATTTAGTGTCTGTGAAGGGGCCGATTTCCTCAAAGCACTTTGCGTAGACTATAGCGAGCGCCTGCAGGCACAGGCACTTCATGGATACTTTGGGTGTGAGCAGAAAGCGGTGGTAGAGTTCATTGAAGAACTCGTATCTGAGAACAAAGAGAGGGAGAAGCATGAATCATCTATTTGGATTCTGAACTGACTGAACATAATAGTGCAGTAGGTTTTGTAGTCTTACGATCTCTTGATGGCATTTGATTCGTCATTTTCATCCTCCTCAAGCAGCAGACGCAGGTAATAATCCCCGATCTTTATCTCATCTGAAAGGCACTCGTATTTCACCTGCACATAAAAACATATAATGTGAGCAAAGTGTGTCTTTATATGTATTCCTTTAAGAAATAACACTATCTTTCTTTGAGGGATTCAAGTATCACTGGTGGGGCCTAAAACTCTAGTGTGTTAAAGATATTATTGGTTATAATCAAATCATTGCCCAGGCAACAGTGAGTAAAAGATCCCATCCGAGCACAAACCTCAAACTCCTGGTGGTTCCAGGAGATGACGGTGGCACTGCCGAGCTCACGGTCCACACTGAAGGAGCGCATCTCCCCCTCCAGAGCGTCCCGCAGCTCCTCTCTCGTCCTCAGGTTCCAGATGAGGTTAGACCGTGCGTGGTCGTGCTGGAATCTTGAGAAGAGGCATTTAGATTTGGAAGGCTCAAAGGCCAAAGAAAGTGTACCCAAGCCAAACAGGTGTAAAGTCAAAATAAAGAAGATGCAGCGGCAACAGCGTTTTGGAAGTCTCTTTAGCATACAGAGGCACATCCCTAATTACATAGACTCTGCACTCTTGAGTATAATCAAATCAGGACGAGCACCACAAAAGTTATCCAGACAATGGGGTCTCAACATAGCTGGATTCTGGCTTGGTGTCTTTATTGGGACATGTTGTACCTGTAGTAGAAAAGCTCCCAGTTGACTTCAATCTTTATCCTCTGGCGTCTCTTCCTCAGGATGACAGGCTTTTGGTTTGGGTTCTGAAATCAAAAAGGAAAGACTGAAGCTTAAGGAGCTGTGTCAAGTCAGTCCATCATTCTCAATAGCATTCAAAATGTGTCATTTTTAAATAATAGTATGACAGAGTAGTGATGTTAAGATGGCAACAATATGAGCAAAAGGTTAAACGATGATACCAACAATGAGATGATGGGGAGACAAATGTAACACAAATGTTGTAGAGAATGGAGAAAAGGTATTAGAAACAATACGACATAAAACCCCCCAAAAAAACAATGATATCAACGAAACCAACATAGAAAACAAGGTGGGATCCCAAAACTGGGTGTGCTCTGTAATTCTTACTGGGCGAGACGGTTATGATAAGGTTTCTCATAGAGCTGTTAACTTCTCAAGCATTACAACTTCTAATGGCCTTATTATTAGCAGCATTTCTCTTTTGTGGCAGAAGGCAAGAAGGCCAATTTCCTGCCCAATCAAATATGGTGTGAGGAGTGTAATATACTGTATGGTTCCAAAGGTGCTACAGTATGCTTGCATTTATAATAGCAACCTTCATGTCTCAACAAAGAGAGGGATGAGTGTCTCTTTTAGCTGAGACAAAGTAAATGATAGGTAATCTGAACATGTCCTATATTGACTGACATATTCAGATGTGTGATTTTATTGTCTAGTTTATAATGCGTTAATAACTTCTTATTTGTTTACATCTATTTAAAGACTTGTACAAATTCCTTGTAAATGATAATAGGTCATCGCCCGGCTGAATTTAAAAACACACCCAATGTGTCACTTGAAGATGGAAAAATGGCTTGGTCAAGAGAAAGAAGATGGAAAAACACAGCATGGATCCCATGGGTCAGTCCTACTTACCAGGTTATTTCTGTCCTGCTGCATTGTCATTGACAGCAGAGAAACAAGACAAGGGGAGGGTGGGGCAGATACAACACAGAGAGGTTATTGTTCCTCGGATCAAACAGAGATCAATAGTAACAAAAGGGTGACAGGTCACTGGAATACATCATACAAAGAGATTGACATACAAATGCATTATAAAATCATTCAGATGTTTTAGCTGATGATGCTAAAAGATTCATATTTTTTTCAAGACTAGCTTTATGAATTGCTAACAACAAATATGTGATGCAAACATTGATCGTGATTTGGCAAAATTCAGTGAAAGCAAGCCAATCATATTATGTAGTTGATCAGCCAATATGAGTCACTCAAAACAAAAGTTGAGGAAAGGAAGCTCGGTGACATTCAGATGAAGCAAGTTTGGGGGTTATAGCTTTTTTTAAAAGTAAACACACATTTTCACTTTTGTTAAAACTTCAATGAGCAGGCGGTATTAGTCCATGGTTTTAGTAAACAGTTGTAATGAAATCGCAAACCTCAACCCACCCACAACTTTCTGTAAAAATGACCAACAGCGGTTCAATCTGAAAAGCCTTACATCGACTATTTGCAGCTTTCCTAACAGAAGTTTTTTTTAAAAGAAGGGTGACCTTAGAGTTTAAATACCACATGGTCACGCAGCTTTGTTACAGCTTAGGGCAATTTATTATCAAGACATTTTTAATGCCACTCAGAACAAAAAATTAAAACAAACTTCAGAATAACTCTGGACATGGATTTCCACTGCCTTTAATACATATGGTTTCAAGTTTTATTATTTATTTAATTTAAATACCTGAACAACAAAACACACAAAGGTTTTAGTCATGCTGCAAAAACGTTGTTAAATAGCAAGTTTTCATTGACCTTGCACTTTCCCATGTTGTCGCTAGTTAGCAGAAAGTGCATAATGGCCCACAAACAATCCTGCTATCCTGATCTGCATGAAATGTTGATATAGTTTTAATAGATGTGATTTATTAATTCGAAATTATGTAAAAAAAATAATAATAAAATGTCTTGAAATCTTAAGACTCGGATTGTTTGATACCAATAAAACAATCAGAGTATTTTAAGTTTAATAAATTCAACTTTTAGGGATCTGTGGGAACCCTGTCACATTCAGACATTCCTGTGATAGAAAGTCTTAGCTAAAGAAAACAATTATGTTAAACATGTATGAAAAATGTGCACAAGCATTTTGAACAGCAGATATGCTGTTGAAGAAAAATCAAACGTGATTATATCATGACAAAGCAGTTTCCGAAAGGTCAGGCAGCATCAGAGCAGGCACCTCTGCATGCAAAATAACAGCGGCAGCTCTGAAAAGTGAGTTATTTAGTTTGCCTCTGGATACGGCAGCACTGTCTCAGCATCAGCCAAAAGGAGTATCAGTTAAAGACATCTGAGCAGAAACATCAGCAGCAGCAGTAGCTTGTCTTTTAGAAATCAGCCCCTTAGCGTTTCTGCAAACTAAAATATATCCTCACCTCCTTCTGAGCGATGCCCATCTTATCTCTCCAGTGCATAAACACTATGTCAGCTTTCTCCTTGGCAAACTTCTCCACCTCTTTGGCTGCTTTGCCGGCTAACCGCTGCCAGTCGGGCACCTTGTTTCGATTTAGCTGGTCCTGTGAGAAAGAAATAAAGAAACGACATTAAGAGAGGGCAAATATCGCCGTATATTCACACTGAAAAGATGGGATGTGTTTATTCAGATACCGTGGCAATTTTCAAGTTATCCCGGATGTGCATCCTGTCCATATCTTTTTCTGGGACGGGGTCAGGACTGTCGAGGTAAGCAAGCAGGCCTGTTGGCTGAGAGCACACAAGACAAAGCAAAAAGGGTTAACACTTAAACAGGGAGCCTCTGCCGCAAGAGAAAATCATTGGCTTACATTCTGGTACTTTGCCTGCATCACACTGTTTGTAGCATACCAGTATTCTTTTAAGCAGGTTCATGGCAACAGAGTTTTCTGCCGTCCAAAGTCCCACCAGGTGACGACTCAACTGCCTGAGGAAGAAAAGAATAGAAGAAGCTGATTTATTTTGCTATGTGTTTTATAGAAGAAAAATATTTGTTGTACGAAACTGTACATGGAGAGAATTATTAAACTGTTATTAAACTATCTACAATAACCAACAGATAAAAAATGACTTCATAATGGTAATAGTGTTTGGAATCTATTGAGGTTGGACCTGTTTGTAAGCATCCGCTGGTCAGCGCTGATAGTGAACAGAGAATTGTGCAGATGCCTTGGAAGAGCCCCTTCACTCAGAGCCAGGTCCTGCATCTTGCTGGCTATTTCCTTGTCTCCTTCCTACGTATAACACACAGGTTGGTAATCATCTCAAAGCATGAACACATAAAAACATTCAGGTTCAAAAGGACATATTTGTCCACCAAACACACAGAAAGTCTTACCTCAATAATGGCCTTCATCACCAGGCCTGCTCCCTTCACTATCGCCATAGAGGGATGCTAGAGATAAGGACAACACAATTGACCACACAGGCATCTACTGAATTTATATCAGTCATATTATAGTTAGGGCAGAAGGGTTTTGATTCAGACAAGTCAATTACCTGGAATAGTTTGAACAACGTGCGTCCATCGGAGGCAACCATCTCCAGCAGCATGTCGAACTGCTGCCCCTCGGTGGTCTCGCTGTAGGGGGCGCACAGGGCAAATGTTAAGAAGTCCAGTAAGGAGCTGATGACCAGAGCTCCTGTTCCATGGTCCTGAAAAAAAAAGAATTAAAAAAAGAAACAAGGGTTAATATTTTGCATACAAGAAATTAGGAGCTTTATGAAACTGCACTTAATGACTTTTGTACAACCACTTCTAAATTCCTTGATTTTTCTATCTAGCTTTCAGACAGTAAAAAGAACAGTACCACATTAGTGATGAACTTTTCCAGAAGGTTCTCCAGGAACTTCTTGGAGGACAGCAGAGAGGCTTTGTTCAGCTGCTCCTGCCTCAGGTCATAGTCATCGTGCATCGGCTGCAGAGAAACATGAACGAGAAGGTCTCAGGCGAACAGCACGATGAAAGAAAAGCGGCTGATATGTACTGTGTGTTTGCAGTTGTCTGATGTCTAGATATTCAGGTTATACTTACACACATGAGGGCACAGAGCATGTCTACAGCAGCATGTGTCACACCGTTGTTGTTCCTTTTTAAAGCTTTTACTGTTTTTACTCCCAATTTTTCTCTGAACCTGGAACACACATACATGCATTCAGAGATTTACTAACAGCACTAAAAGTAGGCATAAGTAGACAGAAATATAAAAACATACAAATACGGTGTTATTTAAAAGAGGTCTGGGGTTGGATACACAAATAATTCATTGCTTCAGAAGTGGTTTGCTGTGTCAGATCTTCTATTTAACTTTAAGTGTAGCAATATAAAAGAGAGGATTTCCTCTCAAAAATAAACCATTTATGTTTTTTAAGTGATCTGTGTCTTGTGGTTTTTAAGGGAAACACCAAGCTACTCTAGCAATGGATCTTTCTGGAAAACCAATTCTCATTTGCTTCACAGGAACAAATAATAAACAGTAAATACAGTTCCTCTCATACATCTCAGTGACCCAGAAAGACGGCAGGGTTCTCAGATTGTGATGTACGGAAATCTAAAAAGAGAGAATGGGCAAAGCAGATACTGGGAACGAAATGGACGAAGTATGAGATGTCGAGAGAGGAAGGTCAAGACAAAGAGCGGCAGACAGCTGGACTACTGAGCACAGGGAAGTGACATAACCTCTTGTCTGAAGTGCCTGTCTAGAAGCGTGAGATGAAAGCAGATCAAAGATAAAAGAGGCTGATCGACAGACAGCTGGGAAAGACGTTAGAAAAGAACAAGAAGGATAAGTAACAGAGACAGGCAAAAGGGCAGACTGAGATGTATGGATTCATATTTACGTTGCATCTGTGACTCCAGACCCTTGACCAGACCTTGGAATGACAGAGCATGCCTGTTACCAGCAGCTCAACAGAAAAATGCACTTTAAAGAAATAACCGCAAGTGAAGAGTGACAACGGCTGCGCTCTTACTTGGGAAGCTGGGTGAAGGCCTGGAAGCCGGCCTTGGAGGCCACCAGGCGGCGGATGGCCTGGAATTGGCTCTCCAGCTCGGCGTTCACCGTGGGCAGCTCCATCTCCTGGGATAAAAGAGCCAGGATAGCGTTGCTGATGAGCTTCTCTTTGTTTTCAGAGAAAAGACCCTGGAGAGAGAAGAAACAGTTTAGTGTGGATCCTACTTATAGTTAAACATAAATCACTTGAATTAAACACACTCACATCTTGGGTTACTGCATGCAGCACTCCACTGTAGGATATGTTGGCGTTGAATCTATACACTGCATCTGCAAAGATCCCATCTAAAAGAGAAATGGGGGATAGAACAATTAAAAAAAGAATAAAGACTAAGAGCCTCTACGAAAAACTGTTAGCACCAGGTGAACCCTGTTTATGACCCATGTACTAGCATTTTATACAAGTAACCATCTCATTTTATACATTTGTAAAGACACAAACAACAGTGAAACTCTGTATATTATCCAAGTTGTAACCGTTCTGATGGCATTTCCATAATACTCAAAAACTATTTTAGGCGTCTATAACCATCTTGATTTAAAAATGTTCTGCTGCACAATAAAAATGTTGCTTGTGGTTTCCAAAAAGAGCAATGACGTATGTTCTCTCTTAGAACAGATGGAACATTTTTTACAGCAGACGGCCAGAACAATCTTTAAGGATTCTGAAAATACCTTCAAAACAACAGTTGCCATTTTTAGACAACCTTCTGGGTTTTTCAGAGGTCGCTGGGTATTTGTTTTAAAAGAAATGTATATATCTGTGACTCAAATGTTATGGAAATAGTTGAGGCAGGCACAGCAGTGCTTCAAAGTACATGCTAATAATGACCATGCTAGCATGCTGATGTTTATCATCATTAGCTTCTCAATACAAAGAACACACGAGGAGCTTAAAGGGTTTGTCATTCATATGTTGTCTACTACTTGCACCTCATGAAGGTAATTCAAATGAATGAATCTCATGAGAATAAGGGCTCGGACTCACTAGGAGGTGCTGCCAGGAATTTGAGATGCAAACTCTCCACCTCCTCGTCCACGGGCATGCTCAGTAGGCCCCATCTCTGCCCTCGCTGCGTGGGGGCCATCTTGACGCACACGTCCCGGTTGCCTGATGCGCGGACTCCATCAAGCAGGCTGGCTAAGAGGGAGTCCCTACAGACGCAAATACAAATAGACTCAGCTAAATGCATTATAAATGATGCTGTGTGATGGAGGACGAGCAGTCAGCACACAGTAAGAAAGATATAGTTGCTATGCAGCACACACAGAAGCATATTACTCATTTTGTAAATAAGGAGAAACGTTTTAACAAATCCTCAGGGCCCATTGCGTCACTACATACACAAAGACAGGTGTGTACTTCTGCGTACCTTTCTGTGGAGGAAAACTTTCTGATCTGACCTCGGATGAATTCCACTGTAAACACCTGAGGGTTGTCTACGTCACAGATGAGAGCAAACACCTGAAGGGAGATGAGACAAGAGGACAGGAGTGAGAGAAAAAAGGTAGGAGGAGGGGAGAGTTTACTCATTTCACAGACTCAAGTGCTTTCATCCCAGCTGTTAACTTGATGTCGTTCATACATAATGAATCAAAGGCAAGCAGTTCAATTGACATTTATCTTCACAGGAGTGCAACGAGACAGAACAAAATGCTAAGTGTAAACATTTCAGCCTGAAATTGTAATGATTGGTGTTGCTTTCGTTTCCTAGTGCTCACCTCTCCAAAGGGTTTGATGGTGACTATGTTGTAGGAAGCCGGGTCTCTCTCCACTAGACAAGTCTCTGTCAGGGCCAGGATGCGCTTAACAGGCTCCTAATGGAGGACATCGTCAAACTTAAAAAACATATTGAATGTTGCTTCAAAAAAGGAAATTATAAAAGCAGATACTATCAAGATCTAATTCCTCAAAGCATCAGTTGATAACCAAAGGATCATTCATACTACATTGGAAGTAAACACAGCGTGACTTATTTGCTTGTGTCATTATGCAAGAAGTGAATTCGCAGAGGAAAGAAACCAGAGAATGCTTCAAAGCTAAAACCTTTCACAGCTTTATTTTACACATTTATTACTCAAATTTAGATTTGTAGATTTAGTTTTAAAGATCCATAAATGTGTTGATAAGATTAAATAAACCCCCCATACAGCACTACGAGGTAAAAGCAGAAGCAGGATGTTCTAACCCGGTGTCGAGAGGTGATCTTCTGCACCACGAACTCGGCCAGTGAAGTGATGCTCTCGTCCGAGCTGTACTTCCCCAACCTGTCCGTCACAAAGTCCTCGAACGTCAACGCCTCCTTCCTCAGTCGTAGGGTCATTCCAATGAAGTTCCCAGCATGCTCGATGGCGCAGCGGATGATGTCATCCCGTTGCTCGGAGGCAAAAAGATGCTGAGAGCAAGGGGGAAAGGAAATATGAAGACAACATTCACACTTAAGCATACACACTGAGGAAAAAAACCCTATGAATGCATACCAGCCTGCTGAAGCCTCCATAAATGATGCAGAACCCCCCCTGGTAGTCAGAGAGCTCCACGAAGCCCTCCACATTACGATAGTCGTAGGAACACAGCACCCGATTGGTTTGCGGGTCGATCTGGTCGATGCCCCCCGGTGTCACCTCTAAACTTACTGCCTTCCGTGTGTCACTCCAGTGGTGCTTGTAGCAGTTGTAGCGCTGTGAGAGGTCACACATGGTAAATAACATTTATTTGGGGGTCAAGACATACGAACATGTATTATTTTATTTGATAGATTACAGTACTTACCCTGCCAGTTATTTTTCCCTCTGAAAACTCTGTTCTGAATCTCTGTGAGTAAGAAAAACAAAGAAATAGAAGGCATTAGGTTTAAGTGCCTATTTACACAGCATGCTCTTATATCATCCCTGTTGTACTTATGTTTAATTTTCCTGCAGGGAAAATCAATCCCATCCTCCCTTCTGTTGAGCACAATGAGCCTTCTCTCTTTACAGCAACAAAACTAATCTGCTAATTCACATTTATGATCAAAACCAACAGGGAGTCCTTTGATGTGCAAGCAGCGCATTCCAAAACAGTGTATAATACATTTATTTTAGACAGTACAGCAAAATGTGCAGCTGTGACGCACACTAAACAGCGTGGATCAGCCACTTCAAAACACCCCTGCTGAGACCCTTTAAATAGATATGTGCATGACGTTTGCTTGGTCATTGTGACTGAAGGCAGTGAAGTAATAAGTGTTTGTCCTCACCAGAGCTTCTGTGAGCAGCTCTGTCCGGTGCTCCGTTGAGAACTTGAGCGTTTCAGACTTCTTGCCGCTGCCTTTGCGGAATGTAAGGTTGAACTCTGTTCCCTGGCCTTTCCCTACAGGGCCGATGCCACAGATGTCCCCGTAAGGCCACTGGTAAAACAGACAGCAACAACACAGAGGTAAACATGTTAATAGACACACATACAGTACACAGGCAGATTCAACATGAAAAAAAAGTATAAAAAGTACAATCCCCACAGGAGCAATTTGAAGTGAAGTGTCTTGCCCAGGGACACAACGACATGCTGACTGCAGTGGGACTCGAACTTGCTATCCCCTAATTCGAAGTCCAGGACACTTTCCACTGAGCCACAGCCTTTCATAAATGCTTTATAAAACGTTATATGTTCTGTAAGGGGATGTATTAGGTTTACATTCATGTATTTGTTTATAACTTCTCCCCTATGCACCAATAAGTGAAATCTGTTGTACGAACAGATAATGAATAACAGAATACCAAATCCAATCTCTTTATAGGAACAGTGATATTTGCTGACAAATACTGTTCATTATTAAAAAAACAATCCAATCTCTTGTGTCTATAATAAAACGCTTATCAAATACTGCTTTTCAAAGATAAACAGGGTCATTTTTTTTAATGTTTTCGTTTGTTACGTATGGTTAGGTCATGGTAGTACACAAAGAACAATTATTTACAATCAAAATAAACACTATTTACACGTGTTATGACAATTGTTAGCAAGGAGAAGAAAATATTTGTATTTGGCCTGCTCATATACTCCCTTACAAAAAGCACTTGGTGTAGTAATTCCTTTAAAACAACCATGACGCGTGAACGGATGATTCAGGATTTGCTGTTCAGCCATTTTCTTGACTGCGGGGGTTATGGCTGTGGTTTAGAGAGTAATGGGTATTGATTTAGTATATGTTTCAAGTTCTTATCATTGTTGAGACATGCTGCTGTAATGTGTGCACAGCAGTGCTGAAAGATGGGAATATTTAAAGGCTGAGCAAAATAATTCTGTTTCAGCTTTTAGCAATGGAACAGTGTGCTTCAAATGGATTTTCAATAGTCACATGGGACCAAGATCAGCATATCCCACAAGCGCCTGTGAGGCACTGATAGCGACAGTGAAGAAAAAGCTCCTGAAGGACACCGGAGTTCCTGTTCCCCAGCCTGCACACACACTGACCTGATTTGTTACTTCTAGCGTGGCCGGGTTGTAAGTGGTAATGCCATGCGTCCCCACTGAGAAGACTCGCTTGTACCTGGAACACAGAGACAGGATGAGTCAGAAACAAAGCCACAAACCACACATGGCAGCAGCAAGTACAACAGGCGGGCAGTCGCTTAACATCAGTGAACGTGAGATAGGAAGCTGAATGTGTGACAGTCTTTCAAAGATGGGTTTCCTGAACAGATGCAGCGAGAACAGATAACTTGTGATCTCAAGATTTACAATGTCTCTGACATCTGCAGGACGAGGGGAGAAGGAAAGAGATAAGAAGCTCCTATTATTTAGGCTTTCTGAGGTTTTGTGTGCTGAGATAAGATCCAGACAGGTGAAAATAGAATAACAAAATCTACAACTGCCCATTTAAAAGCTTCTAGACAATTGGATAGAAAAGAATTCAAACATGTAGGCGTAACTCTTGTCAGCATAGTCTAATAACAATAATACATCATATTAATAAAAGGGCTATTCCCAGTGCTTAAAGATGCCTTACAACAAAATACAACAAAAGCAGTCCTGAGCTAAGAAGAAGAAGGTGGGTGGGTTAGAGGATTATAGGTTGAAAGACATGTAATACCAGATGATTTCAGAATAATGAACTTTTACTCAAGAAATGTAATTCTGTATTCTTTGTATGTAATTGAATCCACATTTGGCCTCTCTGTGACTTTAAGATAAAGGGTCGTCACTTATCGTATGTCAACTGTTTGTTAATGAGTCACTCTGAAACATCCTACACTTTGTCAAATAGTAGGAAGGAAGTGTGTGTGTGTGTGTGTGCGTGTAGTTGATTGCTGTGGGGTGTGCCAACACCATCGGTTGTGAATTGTTGCCAAATTCATATCATTCTGTTTGAAAATGGGTCATGTGTTATGCATTTTTGAGAGGATCAAGTGAGTTTAAGTGTTGAAAGCAAGGGTTTATTGTATTTAGTATACATGCATGCTTAACTACTGTATGGACAACATTTTTTAGCACCTCCATAGCAATTTTCGTCTGAACAGTGAACATGCTGACTTGGCTTCTTTCTTTCCTGCACATCCTCACTGGCCTGGATAACATTAAGAGGTCTGGTGAAGTAACCCACTAGTCCTATCAAAAGGAACTTAAATTGAGAGGTTATTTCTTCATGATGCATTTCGACTTGTATACAGATTCAATCAATTACATAAACAGAGAGGTCAGGCAGCAGCCTGAGGCAGGGCCAAAGTGGAATATGACTTTCAGGCTCTTCCCGCAGTCAGTGTACTTCCTTTTTTCGCTATTAGACAAATGTCACGTCCCTTTTGTGTACGTTCCTCATTGAAAAGTACAAGCAATTCTGTCCAAACCATCCACTCCCACAATGCTCTAGGTTCCGTCTTGTTTGGCCACAAAGTCTGAAGCCCTGACTGATCTCAGGTCTCTCTACAGTACATGTCTTGACCTTGCTGCTAAGTGCCTGGCTAAACTGGGTGTCAGCACAAAATGTGTTTATTATTCATTCTCTGCGTTCATTTTCCCCCCTTCCCCTTTAATTCTGTCTTAGTACAAAGGCAATGTTCAAACATCGATGGCTGTGTGTTTGTTTAAAAGGCTAACAATGCATCACCAAGGGCCTCATTTATAAAGCCTTGCGTAGGATTAATATGGGAAGGTTGCTTATGTAGGACAAAGCAAATGTATACGCACAGACCTTTTCAGATTCATAAAACAATGCGTATCGGCGTAGGACTTGCGTGCGGCACGTCCTACGCCGGTTTCCCTTTATAAATCACAATCAACTCGAAATGCGGCGCAGCTTTTGCGGGCTTCACGTAACGCCCATGTTTGCCTATAAATAGTCAAAGAAACGCCCCGTATTAATATTCATTTTGACTGACTGCATGGAGAAGATCGCAGGAATTGACGACAGAACAGCTAAAAAAGACGTCTCACACCGTGTCATATTTTGGTTCTTTTGGGGAGGTGGAGACAAATCACATTGTTTGGTGGATGCAGTTTGAACCAGAGTAGGAGCATGGAGGTCGGATCGTCACCAAAATAAATAAATAAGTGGTCCGAAAAAAGTTAATGACAAAATACACATAACCTTCCTCAGGCAGTGTGTCAGTGTGTTTACGCCGGGGACAGGAGACCCCCCCCCCATGATGAGAAACTGTAAGAAAGTATCGGGGGATCCCTGCTGGAGTGGAGTCAATTACCGGTGATGTTTATCTTTTGATTTGGTGGTTTGTGTTCCAGCTGTCATCAGCTGTGCGCAGCGTCTCCAATGCAGCCTGTCCTTCTGCATACCGCATCATTTATGAGAATACATGTCATAACATTAAGACAACATATTCGAGGTGGTTTTAAATAACATATCCGTATATATTTATTTCTCCAAGTTAGGTTTTTGTGTGCACTGAGTCTCAAACAGGCATTTGTTTAATCATTTTAAGATTGGCTTTAATTAATGTTTGCAAATGAATTCTTCATATATGATAAATGAGAGGTAACATTTTATTTACGCCATCTTTTGAGCGTACGCACCGTTTATAAATGAGGCCCCTGATGTTTATACTGTACGTCTCTTCCTTTGTGATGCAAAATATGGTTTTTGGATATTGTGAAGTGCAGAGGAGTTGGACCCTGGTCTAATAGACACATTAGTCAAATCAACCTGCTAACACAATGCCTACATTAGCACTCTTTATTACACATACTAACCCTAGGAATTGAAATAACCTTATGAGTGTTTTTACTTCAACTAATGACTTGACATTGCAGCCGACTATTTTAAAACTCATGCTTCTGTGGTTAAGATTTTCATTCATACGAAGATATGAAAATCAGAGTACACCACAGATATAGTTTGTAAATAAGGTTACTCTTCATTCAGTTTTACTGTGTTTAGAGCTTTTCCTTCCTCTCACGGGTTTCATAATGCATCACATTAAGCTACTTCCTGTATCCGACTAAACCCCCTTAACAACTGCCTCTCCTCTTTTAACAACCTTTCTCACAGAGAACACTGAGCTGAAGATTCATTGGACAACATAAAAGAAAGCTAGGACAAACACAACGTAATCCTCCGTATAAGACTCTACAAACATTAGTTTTAGAGATGCAAAGAGGAGGAGAGCAGAATGAGAAAAACAGACCCTGTACTATATCGGAAACAACTGATAGGATCTAAAATACACAAAGAACAAAGTATAGTTACAACTCATCCCATGTATGGGTGTGTACAACTGCATAGCTGCAGCATCTGTAGCACCAAGGCTTCCTTATTGTTTAGGAACAACATAGAGACTTATGAATGCATTCAAAGAAGATTCAAAAGAGATTGTTATTAGCATATTCATGCTCTGAGAAAGCATAGTGAAGTGCTGTGTTTGAAAACCCTCGAGTGACTGAAAACTTTGAGAAGACTCATTTGTGTCAAAAACCGTGAAATGCCTTTCATTAGGACAAAAATCTAATAGTCTACAAGTCACAAGACTTGAAAAAAACATAATCATGGGCACAGATGGAGGGGGAAATACTGCTGCACTAAAGAATTACATTTTATAATTGTAACTATTGTAGAAAAATATTTGACATGATTTGAGGATAGATCTACCCAGATATTCAAGGTTTCACAATTTATTATATCAACATAAACACTAGGGACATCAATTGGGGAAGCAACGACTTATGTATTTTTTCAACTCCATCCAGAACAGATGAGCAATTCTCTCCGTCTGCCGACCAATCTGCCCAACCCAATTATTTAACATGTGACAAAAATAAGTTTAATCATTTGTGTCAAACTGCCAACTATGAGATGAAGCCAGTCATTTTTGTACATGCAAGTTAGTGTAAAAACTGAAAAATCTGCATTCATAGTTAAATGTCCTTGATATAGTGTTGGCACATCAAGTGATGTCGAATCCTGTCTAATAAGCACTTTTTATATATGGCTAAGGGGCGCGCTAATTACAGATGCATCTAATTACAGTTTACCTTTGGGATCATGATCTGTATTCACAGTGAAGGGCTGTGCACCTCCCATCTGTGATACAGTACCAGTTTAAAGGGGACCTATCATGCAAAATGCACTTTTGTACGTCTTGTATACATGAATATGTGTCCCCGGTGTGTCAGGGAACTCACCAAGTGTCAGAAAACACAACCCTCTCTATTTTCCTCCAAACCCAAATCTCAAAAAAAGGGGCTGCAACAGATCTGATACAGAACTGGTTATCGGCAATCGCGGTGGCAGGACTGCAGTCCTGTCCAAGTTTG